AACCCAGAAAAATGCATTTAAAGGCTTTGGATGTTAACTTATCCTTACCAGGAGTGAGATCATGAACAAAACAGGTACAACCAAAAACATGTGGGGATAGAGGAAAGAGAGGAACATTCGGAAACAATAAGTTATGAGGAATATCATTATTAAGCACAGATGAAGGCATGCAGTTGATGAGAAAGCAAGAAGCAAGGACTGCATCAGCCCAGAAGTGAAGAGGAACATGCATGTGAATAAGAAGAGTCCTGGCAATCTCAATGAGATGTCTATTCTTACGTTCAGCTACTCCATTTTGTTGTGGAGTGTGAGGACAAGTGGTTTGGTGTAAAGTACCCTGTGTGGCTAAGAAATGAGAAAAGTCAACAGAAACATATTCCTTAGCATTATCACTACGTAAAATACGAATAGAAGCACCAAATTGAGTATGAATTTCAGCAGAAAACCTTTGATAAATAGAAAACAACTCAGAACGGTTTTTCATTAAATAAATCCAAGTACAACGGGAGAAATCATCAATAAAGGTAACAAAATACCGAAACCCTAAAACAGACACACTTCGACTAGGACCCCAAACATCTGAATGAATAATTGAAAAAGGAGCATCAGCTCGCTTATTGACACGATTAGCAAAGGAGGAGCGGATGTGCTTTCCTTGCTGACATGACTGACAATCTAAAGTTTGAAGACCGGATAAAAGAGGAACCATCTTCTGCAATTTCGCAAGACTAGGATGCCCAAGACTAGGATGCCCAAGACGGCTGTGGATGAGTTGTGGAGATTCTGTGATAGAACAAGCAATTGAAGGACTCGGCACATCAAGGTAGAACAGGCCCCGTGACTCACGGCCCACTCCAATCATTTTCCCCGTACCCGGGTCCTGCACAGAAACAGATTGGTTTGAGAATGTGACAATACAATTAAGAGAATTGATCAATTTACTAACAGATATTAAGTTATAAGGGATGTGAGGAATGTAATAGACAGATGTCAAGGTCAATGAGGAGGTTGGACAGATTTGTCCAATCCCATGAACGGGGGCCTTAGTTCCATCAGCAAGAGTAAAAGAGGGTAAATTTTCAGAATATGTAAGGGAAGAAAAGAGTTCCTTATTACCACAGAGGTGATCAGTAGCACCTGAGTCAAATATCCAAGGACCAAGTGATGCAGAATGAGAAACACAAGCAACAGGATTACCAGTTTCTGAAGCAGAGGCCTGAGATTGAGGAGAGGACTTCTTGAGAAGGGCCTGGAATGCTACATATTCTTCAGAGGAGAGAGAGACTGTACCATTTGAAGCAGTATCCGATTGAGCTATATTAGCAGCAAAAGAAGGTCGCATGAGAGGATACTTTGTGTAGCAGCGTTTCTAATAATGACCAAGTTGCTGACAGTAATGACAACGAGGTCGCTGACCACGTCCGACTGGACCTCATGGGCCACGTCCTCCTGGGCCTCTACAACGACCACGTCCACCTCCAATATTCCCGCGAAAATCAGTACGGGAAACTAGAGCAGTAGAATCAACAGCAGAAGACGATGCAGGAGCAGATTTCTTATTCAAATTTAGAAGACGCTGATACGTCATGGATAGATCAGGCTCCCCACTAGTCAAGATAGTATCACGGACTTTATCATATTCTTCGGGAAGGCCAGAAAGTGTGGCAACCATAAAGAGACGTTCCACCTGTTTCCGATATGCAGTAGCATCAGTAGGGTAAGGCAGCATATCCAAATATGCCTGCATCAAAGAGCGACTCTTGCCAATATATGTCTCCATCTGAATGTCGGATGATTTGCTCAATTCCATAAACTGGGAGATGATGAAATAAAGTTGCTGAACATCATTAGTGTAGAGGTTTTTTGCTTCCTCCCATACTTCAGTGCAATTTTGAAAGGAATAGAAGATATCCAAGACGATCGGATCATTGGATTGCCAGAGGATACTCAGAAGCTGGTTGTCAATCTTTTCCCAATCAGACTTGTCCTCCTTAGGGACATCAGTAGACTTAGTCGTGAGATGGTTCCCATATCCTTGTCCAAAGAACCAAACTTGAACAGAGGTGGCCCAGTTCTTGTAATTAACAGATCCCTTCAATTTTGAAGAGGTAATGGACCCAATATTGGTAGAGATGATATTGGGAGAATTTCTCACAGGAGGAGATGGAGACTTGACCTCCGAATGAATTGGAGGGTTTGCTGCCATAGTATTAAATCACAAAGATATAAACCGAATATTGGGAGAATTTCTCACAGGAGGAGATGGAGACTTGACCTCCGAATGAATTGGAGGGTTTGCTGCCATAGTATTAAATCACAAAGATATAAACCGAATAAAGAGAAACGAAGCTGATCACCAATCAAGAAGAGGTGCGCACAAAAAGTCAGACCCACAAAGAACCAACCACAGATCCAGAAAGAGGAGGAGAAGACGAGCTTCTCTGTCCAAGACCGGCCGGAAAAAGCCGCCGGAATAGTGCTCACGCGCCGGAAGCCCACGCGCAGAGAAGAATGGAGGCGCGTGAGAGCGCGTGACAACTCCGATGGTGGCCGGACTTCCACAGAGCAGGTCGCCGGGAGGAGAGGGTGTTGTTCGCGTTCGTTCCAGACTGAAAACTCGCCGGAAAAGTACTCCGGCAGCCTGAACGGTGGCTGATGGTGGCTCCGGTGACTGTTTGTGGATGTGGACACGTGCAGAAGATGCCTGGAGAGGACTTATAGTCCTTGATGTCTTGCCGGATGGACGCACGACAAAGAAAAGATGACTCCTAAGCAGTGGGCTTAGGTTTTAAAGCGAAGAACAAGATTTCTAAGCGGAAGCGAGGGTTCCCAGAACGAAATAGCTCTGGTACCAAGTTAAATGTAAAAGAATACGTTGTGTATTGATCTGTGTCAGAATGGGCTTAAGTGTAAGGCCCAAACCTAATCCTAATACAGTGTAAGGCCCAAACCTAATCCTAATACAGTCAGAATACAATCAGAATATTTACGGATAAGACAGAATCCAATCATATCTAATCATATCATATCTAATATTCTAACAAACCCAACGAAAAGAAAGCAGTAGGGTGCAGATAGGTTTATGCCCTGAAATATAATTCTGATGACACTCTTGAGGGATATAAGGCTCGATTAGTGGCCAAAGGTTACACTCAAACCTATGGCATTGATTATGAAGAAACCTTTGCTCCAGTTGCAAAGATGAATACAGTGAGAATCTTGTTATCCCTTGCTGCCCATTACAATTGGGATATAAATCAATTTGATGTGAAAAATGCTTTTCTCAATGGTGGGTTAGAAGAAGAAGTCTACATGGAAATCCCGCCTGGTTTTGATTCTGTGAAGGGGGAAAATAAAGTTTGTAGATTAAAAAAGGCCTTGTATGGATTGAAGCAGTCACCTCGTGCTTGGTTTGGAAAATTTACTAAGGTTATGATGACCCTAGGATACAGACAGAGTCAAGGAGATCACACTCTTTTCTTCAAGCACTCCCAAAATGGGAAGCTTACTGTGCTCCTTGTATATGTTGATGATATTATTATCACAGGTGATGATTTTGTGGAGAGACAGATTCTGCAAACACGACTTGCCTCTGAGTTTGAAATCAAAGACCTTGGGAAACTGAGATATTTCCTAGGGATAGAAGTAGCTCATTCAAGCAAAGGAATTTTTATCAGCCAGAGGAAATATGTTCTTGATCTTCTCAAAGAAGCAGGAAAGCTCGGGTGTAAACCCTCTAATACTCCTATTGAGCAGAATCACAAGATGAGCTATGAAGAAGAGAGTCCTCCAATTGATAAAGGACAATATCAACGGCTAGTTGAGAAATTGATATATCTGGCCCATACTAGACCAGACCTAGCTTATGCTGTTAGTGTTGTCAGTCAGTTTATGCACGATCCAAAAGAAAAACACATGCAGGCAGTAGAGAGATTTCTTCAGTATCTTAAAGGTACTCCTGGTAAAGGATTGTTATTCCGACGTGATGGCAATCTATCTTTAGAAGTCTACACAGATGCTGATTATGCTGGATTCGTGACTGACCGTCGTTCTACCAATGGTTATTGCATGTTTCTTTGCGGTAACTTGGTGACATGGAGAAGTAAGAAGCAAGATGTGGTTGCCAGATCAAGTGCAGAAGCTGAATTTCGAGCTATGGCTCAAGGCATTTGTGAGTTACTGTGGCTGAAAATTGTACTTGATTATCTCAAAATAAAATGTGAGGGACCTATGAAGCTGCTATGTGATAATAAGTTCGCTATTTGTATAGCTCATAATCCAGTTCAACATGATCGGACTAAACATATTGAGGTTGACCGCCATTTCATCAAAGAGAAACTTGATAGCGAGTTGATTACCAGTCCATATATTCCCACTGGGCGTCAATTAGCTGATCTATTAACAAAGGGGCTTCCTTCAGACAGATTTCAAGAACTTACTAGCATGTTGGGATGATAAATATCTATTCCTCAGCTTGAGGGGGAGTGTTGTAAATAATAATTATTTAGTCATTTATTTGTTGTTTTGGGCCAAGCCCATTAGGTGTTAATTAGGTCAAGTATTCTCTATAAATAGAGAACCCTTTGTACAGATTATTTACAATTCTATAATATATTAGAATATCCTTTTTCAAGTTATTCTTCATATGATTTGTCCTGTGGTCTAATTCTTAACAAAAGTTTTGGAAGTTGGTTTCATTTTGTCAGTTCAGGGTGGTTGTCAAAGTGCCTTTATTATTAAAGCAAATGGAAAACAGCACGTGCTTATAAGTCCTGCTGTTTATTTTCTGGTTGATGCGGTGATAAATTATGTTGAGTGCTATACCAGAAATATTTATATAGTGTATCACTTTATAACTTCTGTTTCCGGTTATAAAAGATTCAATTGGATATGACCTATTTGTTGCTGTATTTGGTGATTGTGCTTTCTAGCTGTGCTTTCGTATTCAGTTTTTGGGTTTGGTCTCATTTTCATTCATATTTTTCCATGATTATATTCAGACCCCTAAAAAAGAAAGGGAAAACAAGCGCTGGTGAATCAAAAAAGGAAGGAAAGAGGGATTCTTCTTCTAAAAGGTTTGTGAATGTCATGAATTGATGTCTTCCATTATTTTTGCGGTGTCTCAGATTTTTACTTTAATTTCTAGTATTGGAGGAGCCACACCTAGTAAATCAAAGGGGGCACCCATGAAGTCTAGTCATAAGTCCAAAGATGGCAGCAAATCTGTTCGCAAATCAAAAGATTCCAAGACTGTTGGCAAATCTGAGGATGAAGTTAGCAGAAAATCTAAGGATCATTCTCTCAAAAGTGGGGGCGGTAAATCTATTGATGCTGCACAAAAAAGTAAATCCAAGAACACTGATAATTCCAAGATAAGCAAATCAAAAGATGATGTTGGCACACCAAAATCCTCTGTTAAGTCTAAGAAAGAAACTTCGAAGACTGAAAAGTCCAAGCAAGAAAAATCTAAAGCTGCTTCTGCCTCCAAGGCAAAATCCACTAAAAGCGGTGGGAAGTCTAATGCGAATGGCACTGGTAAGGTGAAATCTCATTTGTTGAAGAGAAAAGATTCAGAGAATGAGAACTCAGAGGATTCAACAGAAGAGGTAGAAAACACGAAGGGTAAGACATCAAGTTCATTAAAGGCTGGAAGTGAGGTCAAGAGTGGAAAGAAACGTAGTCATTTGTTTAAGACAAACGATTCAGAGGATGAGAACACAGAGGATTCAACAGAAGATGTAGAAGACACGAAGGGTAAGACATCAATTTCACTGAAGACTGGAAGTGAGGCCAAGAGTGGAAAGAAACGTGGTCATTTTTTGAAGACAAGAGATTCAGAGAATGAGAACTCCGAGGATTCAACAGAAGATGTAGAAGACATGAAGGGTAAGACATCAAGTTCATTGAAGGCTGGAAGTGAGGCCAAGAGTGGAAAGAAACGTGGTCATTTTTTGAAGACAAAAGATTCAGAGAATGAGAACTCAGAGGATTCAACAAAAGAGGTAGAAGACACGAAGGGTAAGACATCAAGTTCATGGAAGGCTGGAAGTGATGCCAAGAGTGGAAAGAAACGTCCAAGGAACTAGTAGTTTTCCACTCTTACTGTTTATTCCTTAGCTGCTTGCTCATCTTCTGCTTATCAGCATTTTGGATATTCCTTTCTCCGGTCTGGGCCCTCTATTTTAACGTGTGATAATCCCCTAATTATTGGTAGCATTTATTTGTAGTTAGTCTAGTTTAGCTTTAGTAAGGGTAGTAAGGGTCGTTCTTTCCCCGCCCCAATTTCTAGGTGGATTTTATGTTCAGGTGACTGAAGAAAAACTTTTGGTTAGCAACCTTGATTAAAGAATGTTTTGGCACTCCCTGATAATGCAGGTTAACATAACTTCCTAACCATTCGACTTTATCGAAAGTGCGCGCTGCACAGTATACTACTTGGGGCACTAGCTGCGTGGGTGGAGAATAATCTTCTCACAATTTATTCGGTTCCGTAGTGCATGTACGCGAGTCCAATCTTCATCAGTATACGGAAATCATAGCGGCCTAGCGTTATATCGTTACTCATTAGGGAATTAAAAAAGAAAAAGAAGAATTAAGGTTCTGTTTCATGGCCATTGATTTTTCTCTGGAATTATTTACTTTTTTCTTAACTATGAAATTTTTGCTAATAGAGGAAAGGCACATTTGTCTAACCATGATTTATTTGAAATTTTGCCGCCACCTTTGTCTAATTATAATAGAGCATGTTGTGAAGATGTTTTAGAGGAAAGGCAGAAGGGTCGAACTTTTGGGTTACGTATGATTCAGTGTTATGTTTACGGGTTTTTTTCCCACTATTTTGTCTTCTCGTGTTTCTTTGTCTCATTTTTCTGTCTCTTTTTATTGTGGCTTTTTATTACAAATATGGAGATGATGATGTATATGGAATAAATTCTTGGTGCTACTGTTGCATTAAAGATTCAGTACATCTCATCAATGAAAACATTACATGTCAGTCAAAATTCTCTTTTTTCTGTCAAATTATTTCTCTCTCATCTGATGTGTAATATTCCCATTGGTGGGATGCACTGAATTTAGGTGCACCTAAGATTTATACATGTATATGAAGATGATGATGACCATTTCAAGATAAGCATTTAATACAACTTATACTAGTATCAAGCAACTTTAGTGTTTTATTTTCATCTTTCAATTATTTTACATCCTTATTTAATGATGTAATTTATTTTTCTAAAGAAGCAATAGTTTTTCTTGATGTTCTAAAAGATTTAACGTGTTCTAATGATTCATCATGCATTTCGTTAAATATTTTAGCCAATTCATCATATGAAGGGGAAATGGTCGAGCAAGTAGAATTTATCTCAGGTTTAGATTCATTTCAATCCTCCTCTGTCATGAAGCTCTTATATTAAATTTCCCTTCTTAGTTCATTTTTTGTTTTGGAATCTTGCACGAGGCATACATTAGCTTCTTCAATGCGTGATTCTGATACGTTCCCACCTTTCAAGCAAGAGAAATAAGTGGGCTGGAGAATCATGCTGAGTCAGCAAATTTGTTAACAAAGAATATTCTAGAGAAAGCTAAACATAAAACAGTTAGGGACTTGGACATTGGCTGTAAATTCACAGTATAAATAGGAGTATGAAGGGAAAGTATTGGTATCTGGAATATTTGGGAAATATTGGGATCCTTTTGGATATTGGGAGAGATCAACACCTCTCGAATGTGTTGAGCTTAATTTTCCTTTTTTATAGTAACTGTAGTCATAGTAGAATTTGCCTTGTAATGGAGTTGATTATCTGTTGTTCTTCTTCTTTCATTTTTGAGTGTAATTTCCTTTCCATATAATACAGAAAATCCAGAAAGTGTTCTCTCTGGGCCAAAATCGTCGTTCTTCTTTTCTGTTATTGTTTTTCTCTTATCTGGTTCTTATCAATTGGTATCAGAGCTTCCGATCCGGGAGATCTGTGAACCATGGCCACACTTGGAAGAAAATTACAAAGAAGAAAAGTTCCCAAGTTCTATGGAGACAGAGAAGATGATGAAGCTTGGGGATGGCTGATCTATTTGCAACAATTTTTCCAGATAGAAAGAATCAATGAAAATGAGAAGTTGAAGGAAGCTGTGAGAGGGCTTGGAGGGAGTGCTTTCGGCTGGTATCAAAGCTGGAAATGGTTCAATCCTAATGCAAGCTGGAGTGACTTTGAGAAGGCATTAATAGAAAAATATCTACCAGAAATTATTTTGGTAGATGATGCAAATTCATAATGTCAAAAATCAGAATCCAAATCGAAGCAAAAATCTGTGTGGAAGGAGACGGAGACCATGCACAAAGGAACGAGCATAGAACAGAATAAGGCTGATGGCATACACACAGTAAAATGGAAGAAGGAGGAGATCATGGAAGAAGTAGAGGAGGAGAGGGAGATAATCAAAAACTCGAAGGAGAAACAAACTGTGGTTGTAAATTTGCCCGCAACTGAGAATAAATCGCAGCAAAATCCCAAGGAAGGAGAGAAGAAAATCAACATAATATTTGAGGGAGAAGGATCACCAACACCACTTCTAGAAGAGCCACTTGCAGCGATGGATCCATTGACACATGAGTCTAATAAAATTTCAAAACAGCATTAACCATGTGAAGGAATATTGCAAGAGAAGGTGCTGTCACCTCCACCTGCGTTGATGGTCGACCCACCCCCATTGCCAGAGCTACAAGATTCTGTAGAAAATTAGAATTCAAACATGTTTCCGTTTTTATTTCCTATTAATTAGGATTGATTATGATTGATTAGGATTGATTATGATTGATTAGGATTAATTGTGATTGATTAGAATTGATTGTGATTAGGATTGTGATAGGATTGATTAGTCATCGCTTAGTCATTCTTAGCGATTCTTTCTTGTATAAATACTCACTCATGTAATTTATTCAATATCAATATACAAAAACTTCTTTTCAATATGGTATCAGAGCGGGTTCGTTCCTACCCTAATTCAAATCTGAAATAACCATCCAAACACTTCCATCACCGTCAAACACCTCCTAAACACCGCCTTGAATCTGTCCAACACAGAAACCTAGTTTACTGACCTCCGATCAAAAAAGTGAGGTGACCATTCGACTCAGAAGGATCCGACGAGTCGACCGCCGCTGGACCCATCGCCGTCAGCCGCTGCACGCGCCACCACGCGCCGCCTTCCAGACGTTTTTTTTTCCGTCGCGACTTGCACAGACCTTCTCGCCGGCTTCTCCCCTTCCTGTTCCAGAGGTCAGATCAAAAGTTTACAAAACTTGATTTTTCATCAACGGTCAACCCTTCTCTTTTTATTCATGGCTTCCTCAAAACACTCTTTTTATTACCACGAGCAACCTCCTAAGGCCACTAGTCATGTGGTCCAGCAAGGTACAACTTTCCATGTTGATAGTCAAAATCATTGGATCCTTGATTCTGGAGCCTCTGATCATATGACAGGTAATCTTGGCTTGTTTTGTTCATACACTCCATATTCTGAACCTTCTCGGGTCAAGATCGCCGATGGTAGTTTTTCCCAGATTGCGGGACACGGAACCATTAAACTTTCTGAGCTGATTACTTTGACATCAGTTCTTTATGTTCCTTCTCTGACTTGTAATCTCATTTCCATTAGCAAGCTCACCTCTGAGTTGCATTGCTTTGCTAAATTCTTTCCACATGGTTGTGTTTTTCAGGAACAGGACTCGGAGAGGATGATTGGCAGTGCTAGAGAGGATGGTGGACTTTACTACTTTGAGGAGGATGTGACTCATGAAGCTGTTTTCGTAGAAAAAAACTCTATGTTTCCTTTTGATTCATGTAATGATGTTATGCTGTGGCATCGTAGGCTAGGCCATCCAAATTTTATTTATCTTCAGAAGTTGTTGCCAAACTTATTTATTAATAAAAGTCCAAGTTTGTTTTCTTGTGATATTTGTCAACTTGCCAAGCATACTCGTGCTCATTATCCTTCTAAAGTTCACCATGACTCTTCCCCATTTTCCTTAATTCATAGCGACATATGGGGTCCAGCCCGTGTTAAAAATATTTCAGGTACTCGATGGTTCATTACCTTCATTGATGACCATTCTCGAGTTTGTTGGGTGTATCTTCTAAAGGATAAGTCCGATGTTGCATCCGTGTTTAAAAAATTTCATGCCATGGTTCAAACCCAATTCCAAGTTGCTATACAAATTCTTCGTACAGATAATGGCAAAGAGTATTTTAACTCTATTCTTGGAGAATATCTTTCCCAACATGGCATCCTTCACCAAAGCTCGTGTCCTGACACACCCCAACAAAACGGAGTTGCGGAAAGAAAAAACCGACATCTCCTTGAAGTTGCTCGGGCTCTTATGTTTACCACGAGTGGTCCTAAATATCTTTGGGGAGAGGCAGTTCTCACTGCCTCGTATCTGATAAATCGAATGCCATCTCGCATTCTGAAATTTCAGTCTCCTCTTTCTAGTCTTGTTCGTATCTTCCCTTCCTTCCGAGGTGTCTCCTCCTTACCTCTCAAGTTATTTGGTTGTGTTGTATTTGTCCATATTCCCTCCCATCAACGGTCTAAGCTTGATCCTAAGTCTCTCCAGTGTGTCTTTATTGGTTATTCTCCTACTCAACGTGGCTATAAGTGTTATTCACCCTCTCTTCGTAAGGTCTTTGTCTCTATGGATGTCACTTTTTCTGAGAATGACCCTTTCTTCCCCTCGACTTCTCTTCAGGGGGAGTCTATAGGAGTAGATGAAGATCAGTCATGGGAACCTATTAATGCCACAGTATTACCTCTACTTTTGGAAACAGGGGGAGCTACAGAATCCTCACCATCAGGAGCCTCCTCAAAATGGGGACAAGTTTATAGCTGGCGAAAGCCTCCTCAAAGTGTGAATAACCCAGAGCCTCTACACTGCCAGGATTCTGAACCATGTTCTAGTTACAGCACCCCAATACTTGAGTGTCATGGTGAAAATGATCTACACTTGCCCATTGCTCTCAGAAAAGGTACTCGATCTTGTACTACTCATCCTATTTCTAATCATATTTCATATGGAAAGTTGTCCCCAGGGTTTCGTGCTTTCAATACTATGTTGGATAGTACAAAGATACCGAGAAATATACATGAGGCTCTCAATGATAAAAAATGGAGGGATGCTGTCTTTGAAGAAATGAATGCTTTAGAAAGAAATGGAACTTGGGAGATAGTGACCCTACCCAAAGGAAAAAAGGCAGTAGGATGCAAATGGGTGTTTACAATAAAATTCAATGCAGATAATAGCATCAACAGATACAAGGCAAGATTGGTTGCAAAGGGTTTCACTCAGACTCATGGGATAGATTATCATGAGACTTTTGCTCCGGTTGCTAAAGTCAATACCATCCGAGTTCTCTTATCTCTTGCTGCCAATCTAGATTGGCCTCTGCAACAGTTAGATGTGAAAAATG